ATGAGAAATACCTCTCTTTAGATGCAGTGATGGTATGCGAAGGAAATATAATGTATTGAACGACACATGAGAAGTGACAGTCGTTGTGGTCTTTCATCGATAACTCCTGAATCATATTCAGAATCCCAGAGTCGTTGTGCGCGAAATGAAAGCCTTCTTGTAATCGCATTCTAACCCATAAAATACACATCAATTAGAAAATAATTATAATTAAAATTCAAGACTTGATTACTTCGTCAGAACCGACAAAATCTTTCGTAAGGATGAAGACGTGAGCCTCGAATTTGGTCCATAATTTGTGGCCCAAATCCATCGCTGATGATATAGATAGCGACTCAACGTTTGAAACATATTAAGTGACGATAGGTTTTGATTAGAAGTATGTGAGGTATGGCTGGTGTTAGAGCCGTTCAAATGGTTTTGAAAGAATGATTTCCTTTCGTTTATTTGTGTGAAATCATTGGGAATTCGGTCGTAACGGATAAGTATCTTCTCAATGGGTTTATCGATAACAACACAACAGTTAACATCAATCCATTGTCTCTGCAGAGGAGACGGTGTCTTCCTTTCGCTCTTATTTCCCTCATTAGTGTCGTTCATATCATTCATTTGCGAGTTCTTTGACTTTTGGTAATTAAGTGAAGAGATATTCCTTTTGGGAAATTTACACGATTTGATCCGTTCTTTGAGTTCGCAAACAATCTAATCGTACAAACAATTTGTTAAATATTTCTCAAAACTAGTACAGTATATGCGGTCATGTCTGGTCTCACATCGTGTCGCAATCGGCCACAGGTTCCGCCAATAAAAGCCAAATGAATGACAATACACGGGGGTTGGGATACCACACGTATTAAATAGAAAGAGTGGGGGCTTTCATTCGCTGCACTATATGTTGGAAACAATGTATTTCCCAATTAAGCACTTATTAAAGGGGTTCGGCTTTTGTTTGACTCACTTTTGCAACAATTTTATGTAACTGTGATTCTCGAGGAGTACGAAAGAACTGGATTCAGTCAATAAGACACTCAATGATGACAGCGCTTGTCGGCACTGGACGTTAGTGTATCGGCCGCTCGTGTTCGGCAGATACAGGTGTTTGGGAAGTGGAAAGTCATGTTCGAGTATAACATGGATTCGGTGGGTATGCATCCATTTCTCACACACATTCACACCGAGCATCCATTTCCAGTACTGAGCGAACTGTGAGTGGACTATGTTTTTCGATGAAATGACCGCATCGGACGAGTTGGGAGGCATAAAGAAAAGGGGAACTCCATTCTTGATGCTCTCGGGAATGTTCCGACTCCAGGCGTTACGCGTAAAGTTATGTAAATGTATTTCATGTTTGTCTGATTCCGTTAAACTGTTATAAATCGAGACAAATTAATTATCTCAAATTCATAACAATGGTAACTCTTCTACAGTACAATATACTATACTGTACTGTACTTTACAGTAATCTGACATTTATATTTTGTATTAATGGATATTATTATAAAATTTAGTTTAGTACTCGCATGCTCTCACATATTAATAACAATTCCCGATATACGGAATTTAGTTCAAACACTTATACAGTAAATAAATTATAACCCTGATTGCAACTGCTTTCGGATAAGTTCTTAAGTACAGTACAGTATACAGTAATAAACTTTTTAAAGTCTGTTTATTTCGTATTTGCATACATTTTGTACATTTTTAGGATAAAAATAATGTTTAGACATACCTTTTAATAGTAGTCCAGAATTGATTGATTGTTGCCGAACGGTAAGCACTTTTAATGGGCTTTTTAATGGCACAGGTCACGTCATGTATGAAATTATAATTGCCTATAAAAATAATGTTTAGACATACCTTTTAATAGTAGTCCAGAATTGATTGATTGTTGCCGAACGGTAAGCACTTTTAATGGGCTTTTTAATGGCACAGGTCACGTCATGTATGAAATTATAATTGCCCTCAACTATCACCTCATACTGACATTCGGGTGCACTTTCTTCGCCGTCAGCGCTGTATATATAATACAAATATATTTACTCTCATTTCATTCATTTATGGCACAGAATAAGAGCAATTAAACCAAGAATTATGATATCAACAAAACAATGGACACATACGGCGGAGACTTTGAGGGCAAAGTTGAGGTGAGATTGTACTCAATGTTGACGTTATGCCTATACGGCAGCAGAAGACGCACTTCTATTTGGTTGTCATCTGGTTATGGATGCAATGGTTAGATTCAATGGTCTCAATGGTGTCATTAGGTCTTACTGGGAGTATAGTTCACACTCTTTCGTTATGCCTATACGGCAGCAGAAGACGCACTTCTATTTGGTTGTCATCTGGTTATGGATGCAATGATTAGATTCAATGGTCTCAATGGTGTCATTAGGTCTTACTGGGAGTATAGTTCACACTCTTGATGGTGTATCCCTCCCTGAGCCGACACGACAACACTTGTGTCAAATGAGCCGAAACTGTGTTTTCGATTTGTTTGTTGCGAACTATATGTTGGTCTCGAGTCTCGCGGTTAGAGTTCAACCAATAGTCGGGCGTCGAGTCGAAGTAAGCATTGCTTTTCAATATTAAAAGCATATTTAAAGTAATGAGCCGAAACTGTGTTTTCGATTTGTTTGTTGCGAACTATATGTTGGTCTCGAGTCTCGCGGTTAGAGTTCAACCAATAGTCGGGCGTCGAGTCGAAGTAAGCATTGCTTTTCAATATTAAAAGCATATTTAAACACAAAACTTATTGAAAAAATAAGTATAGTTTCAATACTCACTCAACAGCCCATTCACGCACAGAATTGTTTGCCATTTGTTTGTAGTTAATGTCAGCTCTGAAGCCAAACAAACCTCTTTGAAAATTCCAGGCGAAGAATGCTCTGTGATATAGATTGAAG